GACCGTGAAAACATTGAACATGCAGCCATTCACCCCTTCAGCAAACATTCATTGAGCACCTGTCATGGGCGGGCCCTCTGGGAATACAGCCGGTGACAAGACACGATCCATCTCTTCCTTGGCTCACCTCTGCAGTGGACACACACACACACACACACACACACACACACACACACTCAGAGGTGTCTCTGCCTACCTCCTCCCCTGCCTCCCTCCCCCAGCACTGCGGAACTGAAGTCACCCACACTCTGAAATAGCCTTGCAGCTGGAAGGGGCCTCAGAATCCTTAAGTCCAGTGGCAGCCTTATACAAACAAGGCACCTGGGACCCACCAGCTCCTGGGGCTAGACCTGAAGATAAGGCTTCTTACATTTTCCACCCCTCTGCCTCTCTACGGCTCCCTGCTTGTGTATGAGAAACCTCATCCTAGGCTTTGGGGATGGGGAGACTACCCCCATGTCTCTGCAGGAAAAAGCCAAGAGACAGGGAGTCTACCAGGATCTCTGGCACTTCCCCACCTGTTGTTTTGTTGGCCTGTTGCTGCTCTGGGCAGACAGAACATTTTCACTTCTGGTCCCCAAGTGTGAGAATTCACCAGGCCACTGGCTTCCTGTTTTGTACCAGATCTGCTTAAATATCACTGTTTCTAGATGGTTTTTGATCACTAAGCACTTTAAAAAAGTAATGATAGACTCATCTACTCCCACTTTGAGGTTCTCAGAACCCTGGGCCAGAGAGAGGGACACCATAGACACTGGGCCTTCCATCCGTGGTCAGTGGCATGGAGCAAGGTCATTACAGCTGAAAAGGAAGCTACAGGAGAGCAGAGCTCCCCCCTCACCTGTCCAGCTACTTCATGGGTTTGGCCATTATCTCTCAAATAGAAAAAGTCACTGTGAGCACTTTCTCCAGATCTGTACCAGTTGATGATCAAAGGGTTGAACATGATTGAGGACGGGAAGAGAAAATAGAAAGTTTTGGTTTTCCGAGTACCTGGGATTGGACCAGGGATGAAGCAACACCCAAGATTCCCTGAAGAGACTGAAGAATCTTTCAACATAATTTCCTGAGGAGTTCCTGGCTATGGCCAGAGCCATGCAAGGTACCATAAAGAACTCAGAAAAAGTATAAGATCTGAATTTTGCTGCAAAAAGTACCCATCAAATAGGAGAAAGCGAGGTTAATCTCAAGAGAGATTGGATTCCTGCACAGTGCCTAGCACAGTTCCTGGCCTATTAGAGAAACTGCATGAATGAATAAATACAAGGGAATGATCAATAATTAAGTTATGGTAGCCAGAGAGTATTTGTAATTAAAACTCAGAAGACAAGAAGATCCATAGATGTTGAAGAAGTTTCTCTGGAGAAGTGAAAATTGAGATGACCTAAAGAATGCGCAGAATTTGATGATTTGGAGGTGAAAGGGGATATAAAAAATAAAAGAAAGAATGAGGAATGGGTCAGTGGGAAGCTCAGGGCTGAGGACAAGGCCTGAAGAGGTCAGGCTTCTGAGAAGCCCTTCTCACCACACCAGGGGACCTGGAAAAGAGATTAGAGACCAGAGCGAGGGGGCCAGGGAGCTCAGGGAGCTGCTAGCTTGGGCAGAGGCTAAAAGTGAGGAAGAGTTATAAAGACAACACATTCTTGCCTGGCCTTAAGCAAATCATTTCACCAGACCCTGAGCCTCTGTTCCCTCACCTGTGAGGCTGGGAGGATGAAATGACACAGTGCATTTGAAGTCCCTGCTTTGCACAGATCTTTGTTCAGCAAATGTTAGCGTTTTACCTTCCTGCTCAAGAAGGGCTCGGTCGGGAATGGTCCAGTCTCGTGAGCTGGTCAGACTTAGCCAAGGTCAAAGAAAGACTGAGTAATATTTAGGATCCTAAACCATCAGGGTCTAAGGGAACTGCAGCCATCACCTTTCAGCTGCCACCTCCTGAGTTAGAGAGTTATAACTACACTTTGTATTATACTTGCCTCTTTTGTGTATTGAATGCCTACCAAGTGACAGGTGCTGTGCTAAACACAGAGAGTACAGAGATGAGAAGGTGAGACTCTTTTTCTCCTTCAAGTAAAAGAGAGGAACCTTGGAGAAGTAGTCCAGTCCTCGATTGCCAGATGCTGAAATTGAAGCCCAGGGTGGTGAAGTGACAGCCCATGGCCACACAGCATGGCAGGACAGGTCAAGACCAGACCCTGTTCTACAGTGTTCAACCCTCCTCCCACCAGCCCCTGAGATCAGGCTGCATCTGTGAGGCCTCAGATTCTACTCAGGCTCCAATGCAGTCAGTGGCTGGCTGTGCAGCCTTAGGCAAAGCATACACCTCTCTGAGCCTCAGCCTCTTCATATGTAAAATGGGACCAGTAACCACCTCCACGTCACAAGGTTGCTACAAGGTTCAAGACACAGTAACATGCATGGAAATGCGTTGTGCTCTGCAGACTGCGTATTGTATCAGCAGTTTCTGCTCTTCCTCATGTCACCTTGGCGCCTTTCTCTAGGACAAGGCAGCCTTCTGTGGCCAGAGAAACTGGGTGTTTCTCTCCACTCAGCAGGCATTTATTAAGCACCGCCTATGGACTCCACTTTTAGCAGTTACTAAAAACCTGTGGGATGTAACCCTGCCTGATCGGGTGGCGTCAAGTCTAGAGTCCTGAGGGAAGCCACAGGCAAGATGAGACTTAAGCCAACCATGGAGACTAGATGTGGCTGGGGGTGGGAGTGGGGAGGAGAAGGCATTCTAGGCAAAGGCAGCCCTGGCAAAGACACCAAAGAGGAACCTGGTGGCAGTGAACATGGGAAGGGCCACGGAACTGCTGACACTCGTGACTGCTTCCTGGCTCCTGGGGCCAGTGAGATGAAGAATAGTTAAGCGGAGAAGGAGGGCCTGGGTCGGGGGGGTCGGTGCTGGCACGGCCATGGGTCTGGGTGCCCAGCCAATGCCCAGACCAACCAGACTTGAAGCCAGATTTCTCGGCATCTTCTCCCTTATCATTTCTGAATCAGCTGGAATCTGCCCCCAACGGAAACATGTAGAATCCAGGGTAAAGAAAGCCGTGCTAGCCGGTCAGACTACGGAAGTCAGGAAAACGAGGGGGAGGCAGAGAGGACAGGGAACGCGTCAGAGGACCCAAAAAGAGGAAGTGGCCCAGTCTCAGTTCTGCTCCCAACTGAGGAGCAGAATGGAGGAAATACCCTCCATTCTCCCAGCCCTCGGCAGCTGTCTCTGTCTCCTAACCTGAAGCCACCAAACCGGGGGCCGAGACCACCTGGGCTCTGGGCCCCATCCTTTCTGTTTTTCCCAAGGCCGCTGAGTTCTGAGCACTTTCAGGGGCCTAGGACGGTCCTGCTGGGGCTGCAGACCCAGGATCCACACTGAGCAGGGCATAGCTGAGAGTTTATTGAGGCTGGACACCCCCTGGGTTAAGCAATGGGGCTCAGCCCTCAGAACTGAAATGCAAGGAAGAAGGACACCAAAGTCAGCCCTTCCCCCGCAATAGGTCTTCAAGGAAGGGAGGGATCTAAAGTCACTGGGGGGCTCTTCCCCAGCCCCACCTACTCAGGAATAGAGGAGTTAGGGCCCAGCTGAAGACCTCCAAATCCGGAGATTTGGTTTATTAAGCTGGAGCCTGGCTACATTGAGAGAATGGCCCCCAGACCCCGGAGGGAAGTAAGGGGATAGCAGCTATAAGTCCCCTCTCCTCCCTCCCTCCCTCCCTCCCTCCCTTCCTTCCTTCCTTCCTTCTTTCCTCCCTCCCTCCCTCCCTCCCTCCTTCCCTTCCTTCCTTCCTTCCTTCCTCGGCAATCTGCTAGAACCCAAAGTAAGAAAGAAACCAGGCCTCAGGAAAGAGAGGATAGGAGGACAAATACCATGACTTCTCTCCTCCTCGCCTATCATGGTCCTGGGCTTCTGCATCTTGTCCACCTTGTTGCTGGGACATGGGCAGGGAGACCGGTGGCTGGTAGTTCTAACTGCATTTCAGCAGTGGCAGGGCCCCCTCAGGCCCTGCTCCATCCACAGCTGCCCCAGGAACTCAATCTCTCTGGATTGAACAACTCTGCATTAAGTACCTACTAAGCTGACATCCCAGTTCAGGCCCCACCTCGGGTCCAGTAGGGCACAGACCGGAAGAAGGAGTGATGACACACGAACAAACTGTTCTCCTGTCACAAAGCTGTACTTGGTTCTTGATTTCTCGTGTGCATTATCTGTTTTTCTCAGGCTAACCTTGGTTCCTCTTCCCCACTCTCACCATTTCTGGTCCACTTTCCACATCACAAGGCAGGCCTTGCATGGGAAATGGAGAACATGGGAGATTGAGCTTGCCACACCATGCCCACCCCATCACAGGAAGCTAAAACCAAGAATGTGTTTCTAGACCATTCTCAGCACTGCCCTCAAAATTGTCTGGGAGGCACCAAGGCTGGTCAGAAGCAGGGAAAACAGGCCCCGGTGGTGGACATGTGTGTGGGAGGGCATGAGGGGCTGGGGGGAGGGGTTGGGGGACTTGCTGAAAGTGCCAGAGCCAAGTTCAAGTCAAGGCCTAAGCTCAGCCTTCAGCCCTCAGGGGAACTTGGCTTCTGGTAGGAAGGTTGAAAGTGGAATCACCCTCCCTCCCACATGACTTTGCCTAAGGAGGATGTGACAGGTTTTCTGGCCTTTGTGTCAGTCCTGCAGGGAAGTGACTGGGGATGCCCCAGATGGCAGGCCCCACCCACAGCGGCCAGCTGGGCACCTGGAACTCCGCCCGCAGGCTCAGAGGCCTCCCAGGAACCAGCGCTTTCTCGCTGGGACGCGGCCATCTCTGTTTCTGTGAGAAAGCCATCGTGACTCCACAGACTCTGTCCCCAGAGGCCTGACTCTCCTGGGGGACTCTCATGCCACAGGCTGGTGGTGTCCCCAGAGAAAACTCCTCAGTGTTCACAAGAGGGGGCCAGGCCAGGCCTTGAAGACCCAGGGGTGGAGGCAGGGGAGGCTGGGAGAGGCAGGTGCTGAGCCAGGAGCCTCCTCCTGCAGAAAGAAAAAAAGGGAAAGTGACAAAGAGATGAGTCTCGGGAAAGATTCCTCTAAACCATCACATCAGGGCAGAGGGAGGAACACACGGAAGAGGTGAGTGTGGAGTCCTGTGGGGAAGAGATGAGAGAGAAACTGAGGGTCTGTGAGGGACTGCTGGAGGGAGGAAATGTTTAGATGGGAGAAAGCAACTGTGCTGTGAAGAGGGATGGGCTTGAAGGCGGGCGAGGAAAGGTGTGACCAAAGGGTCAGCCAGCCAGGAAACAGGGATGGCTCCTGGGCTTAGAAAGTTCGGAAAGTTCAGAAGCTCTACAGCAATGCTTCTTGGAGAGGGTGGCCATCTGGAATCTTCATCTCAGAGCAAAGGGCTGAGATACAAAGCTCTATTCTAGAAATTTCCATCTGATCAGAAATAGAACTTCCCCAGGAAAGAAAGGCAGGACATGGTTCAAGTGGAAAAGGAGCGGCCCAGGGCTAGCAGGAGTTGGGGAGTGGGAGAGAGCACAACCCCAGGCCTTCATTCCTGAGATCATCCCCTACAGCACTCACTCTCCAGGAGGCGGGGGATGAACCAAATCATCTCCGGGTTCCAAGCAGTCCTTGGTGCTAGGCTTGGGGTGCCTGGACCATCTGAGGACCACACTGGGACATCAGACTCACTCAGCTCACCAACCTTCCACTCACCTCTCTGGGGCTCCAGAAAGCTGCTGCTGCCCTCATCAGACCAACCTGTTGGAGAACTTCATGGAGCCACCATCCGGCCACTGATGGTGAAGAGTGGACCCATCTCCAGATCCTTCATGTTCCTGAGAAAGGTGAGCCAATCAAGTTACTGGGGCTGAGAACCAGGCCTCTCCCTGGGACCAGAGCATGGGAAGAACTTCTGGCAGTGACTCACTGACTCACTGGCTTATCTTCCAGAATCAGAGCTACCCCATCTCTCAGGCCAGATGAGAAGCTGCCATGTGACAAAGAGCAGATGAGATGACATATCACAAGAGGAGTTTCCAAATCCCACACCCTGAATGCCTGATTGTCTTCATTTGACAGCATCTTATGCCTGAACTTAAATTATTTGTAATCAGGCAGGTGCCCACCACAGACAGTGAAATGCTTGAAGACAGAAGCTATGAGCAGTTATCTTTGTACCCTTAGAAACTAACACCACAATACCTGCCACACTAGATCTTTACCGAATACACGATGGGTGAATGAATAAAGGAATGAATGGATGGTTGGATGGTGCCTGCCCAGGGGTGAATGCTAAGAGGAGCACTGTCATTTGGATCTTACATGGCCCTGTCCATGTTCAAGTTTACGTTCATGGAACTTTCTAGATGGACCCTGGCTCCTTCCTTTTCTCTTGTTTGTTTAGGGACATGGGGAGGACACAGGGAAGGCGAGCAGTGAATTTGAGTTCCATCTTTGGTTCTTTCTCAAGCATACCTAACCCCCCATGCCCACCCCACCCAGATCTGCCCTGAATCTACTCACCGGATTTGGTACAAGTTGAAGACAAAATTAGGCCCTAGAAAGACAATCGGAAAAGAGAGGGTTGGTACCTATGGGGAGAGCGGCCCATCACTCTTCTGGGAGCATCTAGTTCTCCCTCACCCCTGTCTGGAAGGTGCGGGGTGGCTAGGCAGGGCTGCAGGATGCCATGGGAGGTTCCCAGTCCCTCAGCGTCTGCTTCCTGCCCCAGACCCATGGGTACACCCCTTCTTCCCAGACAGAACCACCAGTCTTTGAGGATAGATCCTGCCACTGGGGACCCCTCCATCAAGGGCACTGATTACTCTGGGAAGGAGTCTTGAATCCAGACTCTGTGACTTTAGCCTCACATCCTCATCTATAAAAAAGAGAGACTAAAAATTTCATCTTCGCATGTAATTAAAAAAAAAATCATACTAGGCACAAGCGCATTGGCACATAGTAGGTGCTCAACAGACATCCATGGAAGCTGTTGAACTTAATTGCAGATCCGGGAGACGTTCTCTGCCTCTCGGCACTGCAGCATGCCCTCCCAGTTCTCCTGGGTCCTATGGGAAGGGCAGATATGGATCAGAGTTGGGAGCAGCCCAGCAAATTCCAGGACACGCCCAGTGAGGCCGAAGCATCAGCAAGCTTAGGAGAGAGTCCCAAGAGAGGGCAGGGCAAGGGAGGCTCTAGGAGCCAGGGTAGGAGACAGCTGGACTTGGCCTGTCTAGCACATCACCCTCAGCCTTGTGGCCCACACAGGCCTGGGAGTTGGACTCCTGTGAGCTCTGAAGGACGAGGAAGCTGACTGCTTGCTGGGGGAGGAGAAGAGCCTCCACTCCCTCAGTAAAGGCCCCACCCGCTCCCCCCACACACCTCAAGCGCTCAGCCACCCACCCAAGTCTTCAACCACTGCGGCCACCACAGGAAATATTTTTGCATGACTCCGTGCTGAAGAGTTTGCAGCCCCGCCTGGCCTGGCCAAATGCCACAGGAGAGGAGGGACTGGGCTGCGCTTGGGTGACAGGGTCCAGCGCTCACTCACCCTCCCAGCAGTACCCACGCTGGTACCACTTGGCCAGGCTGTAGCCCAGGATGGACACAAGCAGCAACGAGAGCCCCAGGCAGAGGAGCAGGCCCAAGGTGCTGATGGAGTCGTCCCCTGCAGAGAGACACACATCCTTCACCCAGCTGCCCAGAGCCCTCTCGCGGCGCCGTATGCCAACTGGCTGCATCATGTTCCAAATTTCCTCTCCTCCCTCCCCACTGCCATCAAAATGACTGTCCCCTAAGAATCTGGATCCTGGCCAGCTAGTTCAGCTAAGTCATGCTAAGATGTGAAAGTCTGATACCTGATTTTTTAGAGTCAGCTTGTTTCTCCAAAGTAACAGTCCTCTGACAGTAGAGATAATTTGGAGCTGGGAAGCCTTCCTGAAGCTGCAGGCTTTCTACGTGTTGAAAAAGGCACTGCTGTTTGGGGAGAAGCCCAGGACGTGTCTCCTCTGCATGAAGCAGGAAGGGCAGCCTGGAGGGCCCCCGAGAGCAGAGACACACAGATCCTTGATCCTCTCCCCACAAAGCCCTCGTATGTGGTAGCAAGGTGTTAACCCCTGGGCTCTGTTTGCTGCTTATACTTATCACTTCTTCCCTTTTTGTGGTATGAGCTCTTGGTTAAATTTATATTTTATTTGTAAAGGCAAACCAAGAAAAAGAGCGAAAGAGAGGGAGGGAGAGAGAGAGAGAGAGACTAGAAACGTGCTGAAGCAGAAGCAGAGCAGGAAACTAGGTTTGTAGGGAGAAGCTGACCATGGGGGCACACGGAGACAACCCACCCCTGCTGGGGCAGGGAAGGAAGAGGCAGGGCAGCCCCACTCCTGCTGCATGAGGGGCCAGGAGTGTGAAAGAATCATCTGATTCCCCATCTCCATGGCTTGGTGTCTTGAAGCTCCAGAGGTGTTGCCAAGAGGCCAGAGGTGCAAGGTTATGCACAGCCTTTGGTACAGCAGGCTTGCATGCGAAGCCCATGCCCATCATTTGCAAAATGTGGGACCCGAGCAAACCCCCGTCCCTCGCAAGACTTCAATTTGCTCTTATGAAAAAGAAGCATAATAATGAATACACATGGAGTTGTGGTGATTAGTGGAGATGCCATATATAGAGCACTTGAGAGAGGACCTGGCATACAGGAAGTGTTCAGTAGATGTTAATTACATCATTACTGTTGTTGTCATTATTATCACCAAGTAGTGAATTGTATTCTTAAATATTTCACAATTTCCCCCACCCTAGCCTTTCCCTCTCCCATGCCCCTGAACCTTCTTCCCATTAAAGCAGCCAGGTTATTCTCTGAGAGAGTATGACAGCCAAATGCAGGGAGAAAGGGTCTCTCCTCCTACTTTTAGAGTCCAAAAGCCCAGACCCTTAGAGAAATGGCAAGGATTCGCAACATAGACAAGAGACGAACAGAACCAAGATTACTCTTCTCACTATACTAGGGGAAAATTTCCAGCCTGGGGGAGGGGAAGGGAGAAAGTGAGGTAAGAGAGATGGGGAAAAAGCACTGGAAAACATTGAAAAGATGTCAATGGGCCACAGAGAAAAAGTCCTTACTCCCCGATCGAAGTGGAGCCCCGGGGAGGCAACAGAATTCCCAGGTAGAGTTATGGGATCCGAGAGCTGGACTGAGCCCCAGAACGACAGCAGGAGCCCAGTAAGGGAGACCTTCAAGATGGTGGAGGAGTAAGACGTGGAGATCACCTTCCTCCCCATAAATACACCAGAAATACATCTACGCGTGGAACAACTCCTATAGAGCACCTACTGAACGCTGGCAGAAGACCTCAGACCTCCCAAAAGGCAAGAAACTCCCCACGTACCTGGGTAGGGCAAAAGAAAAAAGGAAAAACAGAGACAAAAGAATAGGGACGGGACCTGCACCTCTGGGAGGGAGCTGTGAAGGAGGAAAGGTTTCCACACACTAGGAAGCCCCTTCACTGGTAGAGAAGGGGGGGTGGTGCTTCAGAGCCACAGAGGAGAGCGCAGCAACAGGGGTGCAGAGGGCAAAGCGGAGAGATGCCCACACAGAGGATCGGTGCAGACCAGCACTCACCAGCCCGAGAGGCTTGTCTGCTCACCCGCCGGGACGGGCGGGGGCTGGGAGCTGAGGCTCGGGCTTCGGAGGTCAGACCCCAGAGAGAGGACTGGGGGTGGCTAAGTGAACACAGCCTGAAAGGGGCTAGTGCGCCACAGTTAGCCGGAGGGAGTCCGGGAAAAAGTCTGCACCTGCCTAAGAGGCAAGAGACCATTGTTTCGGGGTGCACGAGGAGAGGGGATTCAGAGGACCGCCTAAACGAGCTCTAGAGACGGGTATGAGACGCTAAAGCTGCTGCTGCCGCCACCAAGAAGCCTGTGTGCGAGCACAGGTCACTATCCACACCTCCTTTCCGGGGAGCCTGTGCACCCTGCCACTGCCAGGGTCCCGGGATCCAGGGACAACTTCCCCGGGAGAACGGACGGCGCCTCAGGCTGGTGCAACGTCCTGCCGGCCTCTGCCGCCGCAGGCCCGCCCCGCATCCGTACCCCTCCCTCCCCCCGCCTGAGTGAGCCAGAGCCCCCGAATCAGCGGCTCCTTTAATCCCGTCCTGTCTGGGCGGGAACAGGCGCCCTCAGGCGACCTACATGCAGAGGTGGGTCCAAATCCAAAGCTGAACCCCAGGAGCTGTGCAAACAAAGAAGAAAAAGGGCAATCTCTCCCAGCAGCCTCAGGAGCAGCAGATTAAATCTCCACAACCAACTTGATGTACCTGCATCTGTGGGATACCTGAACACACAACGAATCATCCCAAAATTGAGGTGGTGGACTTTGGGAGCAACTGCAGACTTGGGGTTTGCCTTCTGCATCTAATCTGTTTCTGGTTTTATGTTCATCTTAGTTTAGTATTTAGAGTTTATTATCATTGGTGGATTTGTTTATTGATTTGGTTGCTCTCTTCCTTTTTTTATATATATGTATATTTTTTTTCGTTTTTCTCTTTTTCTGAGTGTGTATGCTTCTTTGTGTGATTTCATATGCATAGCTTTGCTTTTACAATTTGTCCAAGGGTTCTGTCTGTCCTTTTTTTTTTTAGTACAGTATTTAGCACATGTTATCATTGGTAGATTTGTTTATTGGTTTGGTTGCTCTCTTCTTTCTTTCTTTCTTTTTATATAACTTTTTAATTTTTATTTTTAATAATTTTTTTATTTTAATAACTTTTTAAAATTTTATTATTATTTTCTTTCTTTCTTTTTTTTCTTCCCTTTTCATCTGAGCTGTGTGGCTGACAGGGTCTTGGTGCTCTGGCCGGGTGTGAGGCCTGTGGCTCTGAGGTGGGAGAGCCGAGTTCAGGACATTGGTGCACCAGAGACCTGCCGGCTCCACGTAATATCAAACGGTGAAAGCTCTCCCAGAGATCTCCATCTCAATGCTAAGACTCAACAACCAACAAGCTACAATGCTGGACACCCTATGCCAAACAACTAGCAAGACAGGAACACAATCCCACCCATTAGCAGAGAGGCTGCCTAAAATCATAATAAGGTCACAGACACCCCAAAACACACCACTGGACGCAGTCCTGCCCCACAGAAAGACAAGATCCAGCCTCATCCACCAGAACACAGGCACCAGCCGCCCCCCCCACCACCACCAGGAAGCCTACATAACCCACTGAACCAAGGGTCAGACACCAAAAACAACAGAAAATACAAACCTGCAGCCTTACCCCAAACACAGTAAGTTAAGCAAAATGAGAAGACAGAGAAACACACAGCAGATGAAGGATCAAGGTAAAAACCCACCACACCAAACAAATGAAGAGGAAATAGGCAGTGTACCTGAAAAAGAATTCAGAGTAATGATAGTAAAATGATCCAAAATCTTGGAAATAGAATGGAGAAAATGCAAGAAATGTTTAACAAGGACCTAGAAGAACTAAAGAGCAAACAAGCAATGCTGAACAAAACAATAAATGAAATTATAAATTCTCTAGAAGGAATCAATAGCAGAATAACTGAGGCAGAAGAACGGATAAGTGACCTGGAAGATAAAATAGTGGAAATAGCTACCACAGAGCAGAATAAAGAAAAAAGAATGAAAAGAATTGAGGACAGTCTCAGAGAGCTCTGGGACAACATTAAACGCACCAACATTCAAATTATAGGGGTCCCAGAAGAAAAAGAGGAAAAGAAAGGGACTGAGAAAATATTTGAAGAGATTGTAGTTGAAAAGCAAATATTTTCTCCATTCTGAAGGTTGTCTTTTCATCTTGTTTATGGTTTCCTTTGCTGTGCAAAAGCTTTTAAGTTTCATTAGGTCCCATTTGTTTCTTTTTGTTCTTATTTCATTACTCTAGGAGGTGGATCAAAAAAGATCTTGCTATGATTTATGTCAACTAAAAATAGAATTACCATATGATCCAGCAATCCCACTACTGGGCATATACCCAGAGAAAACCATAATTCAAAAAGACACATGCACCCCAATGTTCACTGCAGCACTATTTACAATAGCCATGTCATGGAAGCAACCTAAGTGTCCATCGACAGATGAATGGATAAAGAAGATGTGGCACATATATACAATGGAGTATTACTCAGCCAAAAAAGGAACGAAACTGAGTTATTTGTAGTGAGGTGGATGGACCTAGAGTCTGTCATACAGAGTGAAATAAGTCAGAAAGAGAAAAACAAATACCGTATGCTAACACATATATATGGAATCTAAAAAAAAAAAAAATTGTTCTGAAGAGCCTAGGGGCAGGACAAGAATAAAGACGCAGACATAGAGAATGGATTTGAGGGCACGGGGAGTAGGAAGAGTAAGCTGGGACAAAGTGAGAGAGTGGCATGGACATATGTACACTACCAAATGTAAAATAGATCGCTAGTGGGAAGCAGCTGCATAGCACAGGGAGATCAGCTCGGTGCTTTGTGACCACCTAGAGGGGTGGGATAGGGAGGGTGGGAGGGAGGCGCAAGAGGGAGGGGATATGGGGATATATGTATACATATAGCTGATTCACTTTGTTATACAGCAGAAACTAACACAATATTTCAAAGCAATTATACTCCAATAAAGATGTTAAAAATAAAATAAAGGAAGTTTACAGGAAGAGAAAGATTAAGGAAGCAAACTGAAGAACACATAATATTTTTATGGAGATAATATATTCAATAGAAATAGAAAGTGATAGAATAGATATCATTAAAAACTAAATTACTAACAGAGAAAAAACTTGAGGAAACCACAGAGGATGGGAAGAAAAATACAAAGAGATTAAAGAAATTAGAGGAAAAACTAATACTTATGGAAGACCAAGATAATCCAACTAAGGAAAATTGGCAATCCTGAGGTAGAGAACCCAATAAATTAAATACAAAATGTTTTCAAATATATAATAAAAGAGAATTTCCCTGAATGGGGGGTGGGGTGGGGTGGGGAATGGCATCTGCCAATTAAGTGTATACCAGGTTCTAGGAAATATTGATTCAGAATACTGAAGATCAATGTACATTCTAATTAAAGTGTTGTTCCAGTTATTAAGCTATTGTTTCTCAACTTCAAGCCCACCCTCTATATCCAGTTTTGTGATGCTACAGCTGGGACTCTGCAGACCCCATTTCTCCTTTGCCAGACAGGGGAGGTTCTGCCAATAGAGGTTGACACCGGGAGACTGAAAGACTGGAGGATAAAGAAGGGACTTGCTCAGTTCTGTCTACTTCCCGTTGTCTTCTTGTGGATTTCCTACTACTGTCAGCATCACCTATTGCTTCTTTTTCACCCCAGCAGTTTCTTTTACAGTTGGGTCTAGTTTTCAGTTTTTCCAAAGTCATAAAACCAGTCTCATTACTCCCTACCCTCCGCTCCAGAAGCGTGAGCATCAGACAGTGAAAGCCCCGTCCCCCAAAGGTCTGAGGTTCTCCTCAAAGCTCCATGTTTTAATAGTTCCAGGTTCTTTACTTTGTTCTCCCAGTCCTACGGGTAGTAGCTCTCCTTGCAATTGCTACCTCCATGATACCTTAGTATTCTCTATCTGCCTTATCACTTAGCTAGGTAGCAATTCTCTATAATAAATTCTCTCTGTTAAAATGCCTGGTAAAGTTTCTGTTTCCTTTACTGGACCCTGACTTTCCAGGCAGAAATATAAAAACCTTTTAGGGGAAGGGCAGGGTGATGAAACATAAGTTAGGCTGACCTCAGCTTTCTTCACAGAAAATGAATGCCAGGAGACAATAGATCATTGTCTACAAAGTTCTAAGGGGAAAAAAAAAAAAGGGAAACGCCAGAAATATTTTATCCAGCCAAGGTATTGATCAAATATAAAGACAATAGGCAAACATTCTCAAATATAAAAGAACTTAAGGAACAGAATCACTGTTTTTTGTCCCAACTGCAGTTGGTGGGGAGAATGGCACCAGGATGGCCCTGAGCAAGATGAAGAGGGTGTCTGTGGTGGAGAGCTGCTTAATGCAAGGTGTCTGACTCCAAGTGGGGTGAGGAAGATGTCCATGAGGAGGGGATGCCTGGTATGAGGAGTCAGGTAAAAGAGGAAGGTAGTCAAACATGGGATGTCAGGTACCAAGCAGGGTGATAAGGGTATCAGTGCTGGAGAGGGGAGCAGCAGAGATAGGAATTGATTATAACAGAGGATTCATCCAAAAAGTAAATATATTAAGAAAAATGGAAGCCAGATTCCTCACTGTTGGGAAAAGGAATTACAAATACAAAAATGGAGCAACCTAGACTAAGCC